CTTGGCCTTACACTGACCAGTGCAAAGGACAAAGACTTAAATATTTGAATAAACATTGTGACTAGTAACTGTTCCAAGTTTATATAAAACAAACAAACAAACTGTTCCAGCTTCTGCTGTCTGCTCTTTGCCATTTCTATTTTTCGTACACTGTCTTTCCTGATTGCTCTTCTCTGTGCAAGAATTTTCAGTAGGAGGGCACCATACTCCAGTGAAGTCTGTTGCCACTGGAATACCAACTAGCTATGCCCTAATAAAAACTGCAAAATGATGGAACTAACATGAAGGCAAACAAAAAGCACAGTTCTCAGCCCATAAGCAGGTAAGAACCTACTCTGCAAAAACTACTTTTAAACAGAATAAGGGTGTTAGCGTTAAGTGCTTGTGTTTTTGCCACAAAAAATTTACTAGTTAGCAGAGCCCTTTCACTTGGAGGAAATAAAGTTAATGCTGTAAGAGCACTGGCTCTGTGTGGTCACGTTCACTGTTCTTCAGCACAATGGCTGAACAGAAGAACCCACCTGCTTGTTTTTTTCCTCCAGAGCCCCAAGTGGACATGTCAGGCTCGTTGCCAAGATCCAGGTTTTAGACTGTTGCGATTTTGGTTTACTCTTTTAATGATGGCTTGTATGTGGGGGTGATCATTCTGAATTTTAGCTTTTCCTTCTTTCTGAGGCCCTGCAGAAAAATCCATTGTTTGGAGGGTGGGGAAGGAGAGGTTGTTTTCTATAAGCTGAAGAATCTCTCACCAGTTGGTTAAGCATTAGTAAAATTTAAGATTGGCCTGGTATCTTGATTTTCTTTCTTGGTTTTAGATATGCTGAACTAGGTTCCACATCCAAGAATCTGCCTGTCAGGAGAGCAACTACTTACTGCTTTGACTGTACAATGAGCATCCACCTCAGACTCCTATCACTGGCCAGTTGGGTTATAGGGCCTTGAGAGACTACACCCAGCAGTTAGGAACCCTGTTCTGCAATGGGATCTTAATCTATCCTCTCTAGACCCATGAGCCCATCCTTTGACCTGTTGGACTCTTGTTCCCTTTCCCAGCTCTTGTGGAAGGTCACCTGCCTTGTGGCAGTTACGTGAGCAAGGCGAGTGTCGGAGATTGGAGCCCTGACCTCAGAACCCCATACGCAGGACAAGATTCAATTACGACCTCATCCAACCTTCCTGCCAAAGGTGGCGTTCCCCTTCTACATTGACCAGGGCATGCTCCTCCCAGTGTTCTGCCCTAAGCTTGGATGCCTAGGAAGTGCATGCAGCTCTTCATCATGGTGGTGGATAAAATGAAGGGCCTCCCAGAGGATCTCCAACTGGAGTGCTTCCTGCAACCAAACCTGCTATGAGTTAGCACGAGTCCAGCACCATCTCTGGTTAAGGCCCATCCTCTGTGCCCTTACTGGCCCATGCCCTATCCAGAACATCTGTAGAGCCATGATGTTATCTTTGCTTTGCATGTTCATGTGTTGTGCTTAAAAGACGGAGGGGGATAAGGCAACACGCCACATTTATTGAACATGCATAGCTCAATCAATACTTATCATATGCATATGATACATTACACTAATGCACTCTCTCTCTCTCTCTCACTCACTCACTCTCTGTCTCTGTCTCTGTCTCTGTCTCTGTCTCTGTCTTGTTGTTACCTATACAGGCAGTCCCCAAGTTACGTGGATCCGACTTATGTTGGATTCCTACATACGAACGGGGCTTTTCTTGCCGCAGAGGACGCGGGCGGCGGGACCGTGGCGCGTCTGGGCGGTCCCGCCGCCCGCGTCCTCCGTGGCAAGAAAAACTGCTCCGCGTCTCCCTGGTCTGCTGGGGAGGGGGGATCCCCGGGGGGGGGAACCCCCAGCAGACGAGGGAGATGCAGAGCAAAGCTATGAAGGACGTGGGCGACGGGACTGCGGCGCGTCTCGGCTGTCCCGCCGCCCGCGTCTCCCTGGTCTGCTTGGGGGAGGGGGGGCGCAGCTAGTGCGCGCGCTCTCCCCCTCCCCCCCAGCAGACCAGGCTTTTCTCGCCGCGGAGGACACGGGCGGTCCTGCCGGCTGCGTCCTCCGCGGCAAGAAAGGCCGCGCCGCATCTCCCTGGTCTGCTGGGGGGGGGCACCCCAGCAGACCAGGGAGACGCGGAGCAGTTTTTCTTGCCACGGAGGACGCGGGCGGCGGGACCGTGGCGCGTCTGGGCGGTCCCGCCGCCCGCGTCCTCCGTGGCAAGAAAAACTGCTCCGCGTCTCCCTGGTCTGCTGGGGAGGGGGGATCCCCGGGGGGGGGAACCCCCAGCAGACGAGGGAGATGCAGAGCAAAGCTATGAAGGACGTGGGCGACGGGACTGCGGCGCGTCTCGGCTGTCCCGCCGCCCGCGTCTCCCTGGTCTGCTTGGGGGAGGGGGGGCGCAGCTAGTGCGCGCGCTCTCCCCCTCCCCCCCAGCAGACCAGGCTTTTCTCGCCGACGCCTGGGGTAGAGCAGCTCTGAATCTGGACGCCAGTTCCGACTTACATACAGATTAAACTTAAGAACAAACCTACAGTCCCTATCTTGTACGTAACCCGGGGACTGCCTGTAGTTGCTCCCCCTAACTGCACTGGCCAGGTGTATTAGATGGGGAGGGGTGGAGCCGAGCTTCTTCTGATCCGGATTGATGCTCTGATGTTGACAAGACACAAACCCTGCGGTAGACCCGATCCTTACTTTAAAAATCTTTCCGCAGACTCCCTGCAATGCCCTCACAGACCTCCAGGCATCCGCGGATCACAGATAGGGAACCACTGTCATAACCTTTTTTCCTGATACTTCACAAGGCATGTTTTATATGCGCTATCACGATTATACGTAGGTGAGGAATATGGGCGTTATAGGGCACTTCCCAAAGGTATAGATTGTCAGATAGGTGTTTCCTTTCTCAGAGCTAGTTCATGAATTGGGCCCCAGTGCAGCAAATCCTAGATTGTTATTTGCTTATGTCCTGCTCGTGTGAGTTTTAAGCTCATGTTTATGTGCTTTGCTGAAAACTGCAAATGTTGGTGAGCAAATGAAGGTTTGTAGCTAGTTAGGAGCTATATCAGAAGTCTTTCACATGCAGCAAAATGTATTGTACAGTAGTTTAAAACAGTAACATTCTGTGTGACATTAATACCTTTAAATGTAGCTATCCTTACAGTGTCTCCGTAAGCAACTCTTGTCAGAGGGCAATTAATACAGGCAGTGATTTGATGTGCAAAAGTCTCTGCAAGTAATTGACTTAAGTGAATTTGTTCCCTCTTACTCCAGTGGGAAACTTGGTCCTTATCATTTTCACCTAACTAAATTAGACAGTGATTTGTTTGGTGGCAGTTTGCAGTGTCTGATTACGCTTCAGTGGTGATAATTGATAGTTTACCTAGCAAGAAAACACTAGACTCAGTTTATCAGAAAAAATAGGATTATGCTTACTACATTAGAACTTGGGTTATTACTGGTAATCATCCACCAGGATTTTACATGGAGTGCATTTGTGAGGCGAGAAGAAAGTTGTCCTGTTTTGAGAAGTTTGATATCTGTCTCTAGAAATGAGTACTTTATTGGATGGCTTCCCAATCACTGATAAATGTAACAGTAGTACTCTAGGAGTTTGGTAATTGTAATTTTGGCTTAAAAAAAACTGCTTTAAGCACTATAAGCAGAAAAATAATATATTAACTTTCCATGCACAGAGCTGAGCATATTGGTTTTAGTACAGCAAATGCCTCTAAAGTAATATTTCCTATGCATTACAAGATGAAATATAGCAGTTAAATGAATTGCTGAAGAAATACCATAAAATATGCAGGAAGATGATAAAATCATTTAAAATGATCTGGTAAAAGAATATAAATAAGAAAGCAATTAAATATTCCGTCCGAGTGCATGGAAATGTAACAGGTGGGTTTTATTTCTCATTTCCATAAAAAGGCATCCAATTCAGGTAATAGACCTAATGGATGATTTACAGCAAAATGCCTTTGGTAGTTTATTTCTATTGATCCTGTTACAGTGAGGAAGTGATGGCTCATTGGTTAGGTCTTTAAGCAGGTTTATTTTGTTGTTGTTGTTGTTGTTTGTTGTTTGAATAATATATTAATTCCCAACATGACAGAAGACCAGCATTGCTGAATCCCTTGAAAACATGCGAAAGATGTACTGCCAACATATTCAAAATTAATATCCTTGAATGGACAGATAGTGGACCAGATTCTGATCTCTGTTAAACTGACTTAAATGATTCAGTGGGGTTGCCTTGTTAGTCTGTAACTTTAAAAAGGAGTAGTCCTGTGGCACCTTAGAGACTGGAGCCACAGGACTATTCCTTGACGTAAATGATGTTACTTGTCCATTTCACGTGTATCACTGTGATCTGAGTGAGGAAGGATGGGCTGATATTGGGACACTGACTTAGGATATGAGAGACCTGGGGTCAAGTCCTTGCTCTGCAAGATACTTCCTCTGTGCCCTTGGGCAAGTCATCCACCCAGACACCTCAAGCCAATAGTAAAATGGACATTGGCTGGAGGGGTCTGGTAATCTTGGCACCAAAGCCCAAGAAACTGGCAGCAGATAGCCCTGCCCAGCCTTTCCATTGAAAACTGGAGAGGAGGAGGAATTGAGCTATATTGTAGGTGTGATATGTACTGTAGGATAAGCAGCTGTAGTTTAAAAAAACAAACAAATCTGTGCTACTAGTTCATATCTCTTGCTCCGTCCTCTACTACATGCCACAGTCTGGGATCTATCATGCTCTTGTAGTCAATCTGACAGTGGGGTTGAAAGCAGATTTTTATTTTGTATGTGTTATTACAACACACATTCATATGTCAAACTGGCCTTCCTAATCAGAAAAGCGAAGGCCATTAGCTGAAAAGACATATTAAAATGAACCGTTCTCCTTTGATTGGCCTCAGCAGTAAGCCAAACATTTTGTTCTGCATCTGTAAAAAGTGATTTTGTTTTTAAAGTCTTTGCGTGTGTTTGTTTCTTTAGTGTTCTTGCTTGAGCTCCCCGGATGTCTGAAGAAGCAAAGGTGGAAAACAGCACATGAGCACCAGACAGTGACATAGTTGGCTCCCAAGACTTCCTACTACTGACCGTTACTGCTGGATGGCTGTGGAAATGAATGGAGAACAGCAGCATGATGCAGGTAGTACCACTGATGAGCCCAGGGTGAGAGGTTATCTCTGCACAACGAGGTTACAGTCGTGCTGAACTCGATCAGCAGATGAATTCAGATGTTTTTAGTAAAAGTGCATGACACTGACTGTATAAGGAAGGAGCTTCACATTGCAATTACTAAGGGATAGATTCTGATTTCCTTGTATGTAATAAAAGGTTAAGAACTATTTAGAAAAGCTAGACATACACAAATCCATGGGTCCAGATTTAATGCATCTGAGGGTCCTGAGGGAGTTGTCAAATTGAACAGCCTTTGGCCATAAACTTTGAAATGGAGATCGGGAGAGATCCCGGATGATTGGAAAAAGGTAAATGTAGTGACCATCTTTAAAAAAGGGAAGGAAGACAATCCATGGAACTACACACCAGTCAGCGTCACCTCAGACCCCTGAAAAATCATGGAGGGGATCCTCAAGGAATCCATTTTGAAGCACTTGGAAAAGAGGAAAATGATCAGGAATAGTCAACTTGGATTCACCAAGGGCAAGTCATGCCTTACCAATCTGATTAGCTTCTATGATGAGATAAGTGGCTTTGTGGACATGGTTGAAGTCAGTGGAATTCTCAAGGTATACCTTGACTTTAGCAAAGCTTTTGATACAGTTGACCACAGTATTCTAGCCAGCAAGTTAAGGAAGTATTGTTTGGATAAATGGAATATAAGGTAGATAGAAAGCTGGCTAAATTGTCAGGCCCACTGGGTAGTGATCAATGGCTCAATGTCTGGTTGGTAGTCAGTTTCAAGTGGCGTGCTCCAAAGATTGGGTCTAGGGCTGGTTTTGTTCAACATCTTTATTAATGGCCTGGATGAGGGGATGGATTGCACCATCAGCAGGTTTGCAGATGATACTAATCTAGGGGAAGAGGTGGATATGTAGGAGGGTAGGGATAGGATCCAGAGTGATCTAGACAAATTAGATGATTGAGCCAAAAGAAATCTGATGAGGTTCAATAAGGACAAGTGCACAGTCCTGCATTTGGGACGGAAGAATCCCAAGCACTGATACAGGCTGGGGACCGACTGGCTAGGTAGTAGTTCAACAGAAAAGGACCTGGGGATAACAACGGATGAGAAGCTGGATATGAGTCAACAGGGCGCCCTTGTAGCCAAGAAGGCTAATGGCATATTAGGGTGCATTAGGAGGAGCATTTCCAGCAGATCCAGAGATGTCATTATTCCCCTTTATTTGGCTCTGGTGAGGCCACATCTAGAGTATTGCATCCAGTTCTGGGCCCCCCACTATAGAAAGGATGCGGACACATTGGAGAGGGTCCAACGGAAGTCAACAAAAATGATTAGGGAACTGGAGCACATGACCTGTGAGGAGAAGCTGAGGGATTTGGGTTTATTTAGTCTGCAGAAGAGACGAGTGAGGGGGGATTTGATAGCAGCCTTCAACTTCCTGAAGGGAGGTTCCAAAAAGGAAAGAGAGAGGCTGTTTTCAGTAGGGACAGATGGCAGACCAAGGAGCAATGGTCTCAAGTTACAGTGGGGGAGGGCTAGGTTGGATATTAGGGAAAACTGTTTCCCTAGTAGGGTGGTGAAGCACTGGAATGGGTTACCTAGGGAGGGGGAGGAATCTCCATCCCTAGAGGTGTTTAAGTCCTGGTTTGACAAAGCCCTGGCTGGGATGATTTAGTTAGGATTGGTCCGACTTTGGACTTGATGATCTCCTGAGATCTCTTCTAGTCCTAGGATTCTGTGATTCTATGATTAAGTAGTACTTTACTCCACAAATGGTACCAAGGAAACCATAATCTGGCCCTGTATTAATAAACAACATTTTAAAAAGTGAGCTTTTGCTTTGCATTGTGAGTATGGATTATTTACACATGTTGCTTTGATATAGGACAGAGAAGGCTCATCTGGGGTGGGAGAGTGAAAAGGGCAGAGTAGTTGTTTTAATGTATTTTGTGCACTTAAAGCACACACCAAATAGAAATGGTCTGCCAGTGCCGTGTGAAGTAAGTCAGAATTATTCCATGTTTGCCCTTATGTAAACTGAATGCAAAGGTTGAGGTGTAAGCTTCAGTCACTTGTTCTGCTCTTCCAAATCCCACCTCATAAGCCCCCTCTACAGTGATGCCTACAAAACACTTAACAGTTAGGCCAGTGGGGTGCTGATTTCACTACCTATCACATGCCAGAGGATGTGAAGGCTAGAACTTTAACAGGGTTCAAAAAAGAGCTAGATGGATTCATGGAGGTTAGGGCCATCAGTGGCTATTGGCCAGGATGGGTAGGAATGGTGTCCCTAGCCTCTATTTGTCTGGAGGTGGGTGATAGGAGAGGGATCACATGAGGATTACCTGTTGTATTCCCTCCCTCTGGGGCATCTGGTATTGGCCACTGTCAGCAGACAGGACTAGTATTATCTCATTTCCTTGTACTCTTCCATCTGTTAACTCTTGTCTTGTGCTTAGGCTGTGTCCACACTGGTAGTGCCCAACCTCATTACACAGAAGGGCCACACAAACTAAGCACAACCTTGTGTGCATCAAAGAGTCCACATATTTTAGTAAGATTTAAAGTCATCTGCATTGATTTTTATATTTGAAGTGCAGCTTGTTTTGTATGTATAGGTGTAGCCCTCCCCACTTCTAAGTGATGGGGTCATGGCCCCACCTGTTCCAGTGCCCCTGGTCAGGGTAATCCTTTTCCTTGGTCTTCGTACATTACTTGGCACCACTGGGGGTATGGTCCTTGAAAGGAGCTTCTGCGAGCCTTGTGAATATGAATAAAACAGTAAGTTCTTTAGTCTTGATTTCTAGTTTTGTAGTCAAACCGCTGGACCAGGCTACCTTCCAGATTTCATTTTGCCTACTGGAAAAATACCAAAGAAAATAGTTCCCCTCTATTATTGCTATTTGTAGTTTCCTACATTGCTTTATGAAAGTATAATTACTCTTACTGTTGTTGTAGCTGTGTAGAACAATTACTACATACAATGCATGGTTTTTTTTCCTGACCATGAAAAATGATCTCTGAGAAATAATCACAACCAGCCAGTCATTCTGCTACCAACCTTGTTCCCTTTTAGTATGCTCAGATGAGGAAAAAAAAGCCCACAGAAATGCGGTGTTACCCAGCATTTACATTACAAAATTTTACAGTAGCAGCCAAAGATTTCTAAAGCTCTTGTATAACCTGGTACCATATGTGTGAAAAGGAGAGAGTAAAAACAGTTATCTGACTATGAAAAGATCATAATGAATGTAAGGCTGTACAGAGATTTAAAAATCCACTTGTCTGTACCCTAAAGCATATCGTGCATTTTAATTTTTCAAAAAACCTGTCATTAATCTCTGCTATTTATGGAATATCTGAACAGTTCACTGTTTCTTGAATCTTCTGTCTCTGTGGCTCAGTGCAAATATTCTAAATTCAAGGTGTTACTTGGTTGTCATTTTTCTCTGAATCATATTGTATTATTTTGAACACTATAAGCATGTGATCATTTCTAGCACAAATTTCAAATTGATTTTCCATGAATTCTTTCACATGCAATTTTTGAAATTCACTTAAAGTGCACACTTTTGCACTAGTTATTCAAATGCTCACAAAATAAATACAAGATGCAAATGTGGTCACATAGTCTAAGCAAAGATATTTAAAAATGAAAGATAATTTTTTGCATTATTTATCCACTTCTATGTATTTGAGAATTACAACTGTATTTACTTTTTTGAAAAATATAAACAAAACTTAATACTTCTGTCAGGTTCTTCTTCAGTCCCGTTGGCATTTCCTCCTTAGTCTTCTCTTTAGATGTGATAGCAAAATAGTTAATGAAAATCTTTACCCCCACAAAAAGCCCAATTAATACAACTAGCAAGATTTGCTAACCTCAGTAGTTCAATCACAGTGGTTTTAATTGCACCCCAGTCCCCTTCCTGCACTCATAATACTTTGAGAGAGATAATAAACTGTAGGCAGCTGCAATATAAATAGGGCCCTACCAAATTCATGGACCACAACATCTGGTCTTCCTCATGAACCCTCATCTTTAGAGTGCACAAATACTATAGTGATTTCATGGGAGAGCCCAGTGTTTCTCAAACTGCATGGTCTCCTTTTGGGTATTGACACACTTACTTCTGCGCTTCCTTCAGAGGGGAGTGGGTGGAAAGCAGCAGCTGCTGACTGAGGGACCAGCTCTGAAGGCAGCAACATAGAAGTAAGGGTGGCAATATTGTATGATGCAATCCTTATGTCTGCATTGCTGCTGGTGACAATGCTGCCTTCAGAGATGGGTGGCCAGACAGTGGTGACTGCTGACTGGGAACCCAACTCTGATGGCAACACCACAGCCAGCAGCACCAGCAGCAGCACAGAAGTAAAGTTGTCAATACCATCACCCTACTTCATTAATCTTGTGGCCCCCTCCACAGCCTCCTTTTGGGTCAGGACCCCAACAGTCATAACACTGAAATTTCAAATATCTGAAATCATGAAATGCATGACTTTTAAAATCCTCTTGCTGTGAAATTGACCAGAATGGACCATGAGTTTGGTAGGGCCCTAAAAACAGTGAAAGCTTTGTTATCCGGTGCTAGTTAGTTGAATGAGCCAGATATTCAGGCTTATTGCTCTGCCCCTGCTCCCTACCGTGGCAACCAACCCCCCCACCCTTGGCAATGCCTGGCCCCTCAGGTTATTATTCAGAATGTTTGTTACGAAGGCCAAAGGGTTAGGTATGAGGAAGCCGACCATTCCCCTCCAGCACACACACTCGTTCACTCTGGGTATTTTTGTTGTGTCCTCCTGAGCGGCAGGCAGGTGAGTGGGCCAGCTGCCTGGGAGCCCTCCAGCAGATCCAGCTCCCAGCAGCTGGAGGAAGGAGGCCCTGCCTGAAGACACGGGGCTGTTGTGGCTGGGGGCCAGTGCTGGTTGACCAAGTTTGCCAGTTAACAAAGCTTTCACTGTGTAAACATACACGTGACCGATGTTTACTGGGATTTCCCCCT